CTGAGACCAAATATCAACAGATTTTCCCATCATCATCCTTCCCCAATAGCAAGTACTTTGTACTTCAGATCAGTATGAAGTCAAGCAAATCTTGGATTCTAAATTCATCAGAGGGTAGCTCTTGTATATAATTGACTGGAAGGGATATGGTCCTGAGGAGAGTTGTTGGATTCCTTCCTCTGATGTTTCTGCACCCTGTCTGGTAGAATTTTTTCATCAGAAGTTTCCCCTTAAGCCTGGTCCTAAAAGAGTGGGGAGACCTCGTAAGGGGGGGGTACTGTCACAAGTTAACCTGCAGTTTCACTTGTGTTCTTGCTGCAGTCCTGATCCCTTCTCATGCATGTTTGTCTGTGCTCACCGATGGGCGTCATCTGCTGTTCTCTGGGTTTTATTTCCTTCCCTTCTATCACTTCCTGTCCCGCCTCCTTGTCTACCTGTCTATATAAGATGTACTCAGACTAGGCCACGTTGCCTGAGCAATGTCTTAGTTGTTGGAGCTTCTGTTGGCTGTAGCCGATAGGCGCTACTGATCCCAGCTTTGTTCTCCGACCTTGCTTGTTTGCTGCCTGTCCTGACCTCAACTTGCCTATTGGACTCTGTCTTCTCCTGTTATACTCTACTTCTGCGAGTGGTCTCCTCCATCTCAGCTGGGTGTGTACCTGGGGGCTACGACCTGGTTCCAGCTTGCTGCAAGTCCATCCTCACCATCAGGGGCTCTGGTGAACAAGCAGGCTTGGGCTTAGACTCCGTGTCCTGGGGAACCCCAAGTTGTGGATCAATAGAGCTCACTACCACAGGTGCTAACAGTGTAATTAATGTGTTTTGTTTTAAAGGGATGAGGTGGCAATCCTACTCTGCACTGTTATAAAACCAAATTAAAACTAAAGCATCCATGGCTGTTGCCACTATTACAATTGCTACTTTACACCATTGCTGCAAATCTAAAAGTGACTATAGTGTAGATTCCTTAAAATGGTTATAAGCTCAGACTAGGCATATGAATGAAGCATAGCTCTCTATAGAGTGTACTTGTCTCTGTCCAGAGCACTAAACATCATTTCTGTCTGCTGCCCATTTCCTCTGATATAACTTCTGTCAAGATTTACTGACTAAGAGGTAAAAAAGTGACAGGGGAGGGAGCTCCAGCACACTGCCTGTGATTAGCAGCCTCAGCTCTATTCATGTGTCCTTTGTGAAGGGGGTGTTTCCCTGCCCTTCAATAATTTCTCACTGTGCTCTGCAGACTGTCATCTCCCCTCCCCTTGCTTTCTGAAAGCTCAGACAAGCTGTGTAAATTCTGCACTTTGTACAGCTATAGAGAAGGCTGCAGATAAACAGGTTCAGCTTATATAGGAGGATATGTTTAATTTCTGTGTATCACCTGAGGTCATTCCTTTCACTGGTAGGGTTGCCACCCCATCCCTTTAAAACCAAATACAAATTAATTACAGAGGTTCTGTGGCTGATTAAGGTGGTAAAATCACTTACCCTAGGCTCATACCTAAGCGTTTAACACAGCGTTTTGCAAAAATGCACTACAGGCCATTTAACATGATTTCCTATGAGACACGTTCACATCTCCGCATTTTTATCCCGTACATTTTTTGGAAAGGGTCAGGGACTTTTTTAAGTGCAAAAAGGTGTGTTTTTGGTTCTAAAGACTTCAATGGAAACGCTGCAGAAAAGTACGTAGTGCATTTTTGCTATGTTTTTGCTATGTTTTTCATGCATTTTGTGTTTTAAATCTGTCTAGAAACAAGAAAAAAAAAATGCATTAAAAAATGTAAAATGCACCGCAAAACGCAATTCAGAAACGAATCAAACACAAACTGCATAGGTGTAAACCTAGTCTTATGTGAATTAAATTAGCCTCAGAACCTGTGTCATTAATGTGTGTTTGGTTTTTAAGGGATGAGGTGGCAACCCTATTCACTGGGTATATGTAAGGGTTTACAAACACTTTAACACAGAGAAGATAATTTGTAAATTGCCTGGATTTTGCCTGTATTTTTCATTGCATAAAATTTGGGCTGATGTCGAGCTCAGGGTGTCCTATGAAGTATTCCACGCATAATACTGCAAAGAATACTCTGGGACAAGTGTAGAGCACAGTCATGTGTCCATGTGACCAAGCTCTTCTTTTCCCACTTTTTTTTCATGAATGTTTCATTAATGTTGGAAACAGAACAAATAACTAAATTATAAAGCATTTTCTTTATTTTTAGCCCACACCCCTACCTTGTAAATCAGCTCCTAAGTACTATATCTAGCATTCAGATTTAAAGCTAAACACCGGGCTCAATAACTTCCATATAAAAAATTTTTTTCAATCGCCACAAAGTTTGTAAATCCACTTTGCATGTACAAAATTCCTTTGCACGGCCAGATATTACCTTATAAAAGTAGTCATGATATCATCACTGTGACGCACATATCCTGTGCAGATAACAGAGCTGTGGGTGGGACCTAGCAGGTGTCCCATTAAGGTTGCCTGTTGAACCTACAGGAGGTTTAGATAAGAGACCAGTTACCCTGCACAAGGAAGAGACTGCAACAATGATCAAACATTGAGGGCCAGTTCACACTACATGCGTTTCAGTTGCTTTTTTTTTGCATCCAAAATGCACAGAAAGTAGGTTATATGGTTGTCAATGTCATAGTTCACATCAGTGCTTGCAGTTACAGTTGAAGAAAAAAAAAGTAGAACATGTTGCATTTTGTTCTGCACAGAACCGCACTGGAACACAGTAAAATGCATCAAAATGCACTGGAACACACCAAAAATGCACTGGAATGCACATATCCCTATTTAAATTACAGAGAAAGCGAGGGGGGAAAAATGAACTGTAATGCATCAAAAACGCACTGCAAGATGCCACAAAAGCGTCAAAAACACACATGCAAAAATGCATCTGGACTGCCTTTTTATAGTGTAAACCGGCCCTAAAGGAGACTCCTCCTGAACAGGCAAAGTGCAAGGGTTGTATTGAAGATTTCTGCACAGATCTGGAAATAATTCACAAAAACAATAGGATTCAAGTAAAAGTACACATAGGGATTGATTTAATGAAAACTGGAGAGTGCAGGCATTTGGGAAGCATTTTTAACGCTCCTCAAATGCTCCCCAAACGCCCTATGCGTGGTTTTGAGCCGTTTGATAGGTGTTTGCCAAGCGTTAAAACTGCACCACAAATGCCTATAATTAAGTTAAATGGTATTAATGCTCCGCAAAACACCTCGCAAACGCCCCACAAATGCCTGCCAGCCATTTGAGGAGCGGCACCATAGACTGGGGAGGCTTCCACTCCTCCTGACTCAACATGAGGCGTCAGTTTTGCCGCGATGCAACGTGACACGATGCTAATGCTCCAGTGTGAACAGCACTGTGTGCTGCCACATGCAGAATTTTTTTCATTAAAAACGCTTCCCAAACGCCTGTCTGATGCCTGCTGACAAAGCTAGTGTGAACATAGCTTTACAGGGATGGCCAGTTTATGAAGTTGAGATCTGAAGATCTCACTGCCCATCTCTTTAAAATATCTCCATCCCACATTCTCTAGCACAGAGCTGGAGAATCTTGGTGAGAAGCTGCTATGATGTGAGGAAGACGGCTTCTTTCTTTCTAATATCAGCACCAGTGTGGTTAAACATTGATATCAATTATAGCTATATATATTTATGTATATTTGTGTTTTATAGTGTACAGTATTTATATACATACATACACAGTACAGTTATAGTGTATTGTCGTTTAGAACACATTCACACCTAAGCAATGCAGAATTGCACAATTCTCGCTGCAATTCAAACTTGTGCTAATATTGTGCTAAAATACACAGTGAGCTCATGGGTGCCATTTATTGTTAATGGCACCCCGATTGCGGTTAGCAGACATGCATTTTGCCACACATTTTGTCATTTGACAAATACGCCATCAATGCATCAAAATGCGTATTGAAAAAACACACAACACTCCATGCCCAAAAAAGGTTCACTTTAATGCCCATTTTTTGGTGCTTTTTTTAAACACATTTTTTTTTTTAAAATGTGAGTTGAAATTTTTTATGTGCATTTTGGTGCTTTTTTAACATGTATTTTGGCTAATTTTTTTTACTGCGTTTTTGTGTGTGTTCTGGAAATGCATGTAAAATGCATGTAATGTATGCGGTGCCATTATTTGTTAATGGCACCCAAACGTGGCTAGCAGATGTGCAGTTCGATAAAATATGCATAAAACAACAAATCAAAATGCACTTTAAAAAAGTGCCAAAAATACATGCTAAGAAAAGTGCCAAAATGTGCATTATAAACCACATCAAAATGCATGTTAAAATAACCTGTACCAAAATGTGCATTAAATCACCTAAATGTGTGTTTAGAAAAGAACCAAAATGCACATTAAAAAAAACCCATGTCAAAATGCGTGTTAAAAAAAATACAGCATGCTAAAAAGTGGCAAAATGCACGTAAATAATGCCAAAATGAGCAATAAAAAGGAGTCAAAATACACATTTAAAGAATGTGCCAAAATGTGCATTAAAAAGTACCAGTGCTCACTGCTTATTATTTTCATGTCATTGCATGGTCTTTTAACTTTGATTTCACTGTTTAAACTTTCTTTGGGTGATCTGCAATCACACAATTATCTCATCAGATCACAGGCAGCCCTCCCCTTTCTACACAGATCTCAGCTGTTCTCAGAGGAAAAACTTCTCCTCTCTTCTCCTGAGAACAAATGTTCTCCACTTCATAGACAGGGGGACAGAGGAGAAGATTTTTCCCAGAGAACTGAAATGAGATAAATTATCTCTGCTTAACCAAACTTATTTCCCACCACCCTATAGCAGAAATACTTATATATATAATTATTTCATTTCCGGTAGGGGGCATCCACGAGCCCTACCCATGCGGCTATTCGTCAATCACTGTGTCCTGGCCAGTGACACCCGGTGATCATCGAGTATTATTGACGGGTGGAGAGAACTGTATCTAAACAATACAGTTCTCTCCCCTGTCAGCTCCTGCACACTGCTTTGTATGGCTCTGCATAGCAGAGCCATACAAAGCAGTGTGGTTTACAGTTGAAAGCACAGACACAGTTAACCCTTTGATCGCCCCACATGTTAACCCCTTCCTGCTCAGTGCCATTAGTACAGTGTCAGTGCTTTGTTTAGCACTGATCACTGTATTGGTGTCACTGGGGATGTCAGTGACACTAAGTCAGTTCCCCCCAGTGTCAAAATGCTTGCCACAGTCCTGCTATAAGTCGCTGATTCGCCGTCATTACTAGTAAAAACTAGTATCTATACTGCCGTTTATAAACGCTATAATTTTCACGTAAACCAATTAATTTACACGTATTGGGATTTTTTTTTGCAAAGACATGTATATGTCTTCCAAGCAGAATATATATTTTGGCCTAAATTTATACGAATTTTGATTTTTTTAAATTATTTTACTGGACATGTTTAATAGCAAATAGTCAAAAATATTGTTTTTTTTCTCAATATTGTTGGTCTTTTTTTTTTTTTTAGCAAAAAAAAATTAAAAAAATGCATAGGCGATCAAATACCACCAAAAGAAAGCTCTATTCATTGGAAAAAAATAACGTAAATTTCATTTGGGTACAGTGTTGCATGACCACACAATTGTCAGTTAATGTAACGCAGCACCGTAACGCAAAAAATGGGGCCTGGTCAGGAAGGGGGGTAAATTCTCGGGACAGCAAGTGGTTAATAAATACACCCTAGTGGCCAAAGGTCAATTCTAACAGTTCTTATTGCTGTTCCCTATACAATGTGCAAGTGCATTTATCCCAATGTTATTTGTGCTGCAACAACGATCATCACAGATATAAACAAGTTTACAATGGCATCTCTTTTAAAGAGGATAGTAACTTTGAACAAAATGAGGAATGCTGATGAAATCAAACTGGAAATGTTTATACTGTATCTGCAATTGTGATTGCAAAAAAAAATTACATGAACATAAATTCTGTAGCAGTTACATTTTGTTGATGAACTAGTCTTCCAGAAAATAAATTCTGATGGAGTAATACTACCAGAGCCGCATGAAAATTTGTTGATGCTGCATTATGCTGTAATGCTCAGAAATAAAAAGGGAAGAGTATACCACATTAAAATGTTAAGAATGTTTGGTTGTGATGTGAATTGGAAAGCATTTTAGCATAATAACTAGAATCTGCTTATCAGCCATCCACATTGCTTTCTGAGCTTCTGTTGGATTTGAATGCAGTGATGTTGACACTTGTAATGCAGTGGAAGTTGCTGTCTTAACATACTCTGTTGCTCATGCCAGTGAAAAGATTTGGATGAAAGGACATGGACCTTCTTTGGGGATTCATATGTCAAGATTAGGCGTTAAAGGACGTCATTTAGAGAGTATACAATAACTGACTAGTACTTTAGCAAAAGGTCACTAGCAAACAACAGATTTGTCTAGATATGTAACAGACGTAAAAGATCACAGAGAGAATATTCGCAGTATTAGTCTCTATAGTAGAACTGTATTGCCTACTGAAGTAATACATTTTGTATACTCCAACCAAAAATGTTTTGCTGTGAATGTGACTGTTCAGTTATATAATGTAATTGATAATGTTTTCAAATTGCAAGAAAAAGAGTTGTAACCACAGTTAGTTTTATAATAGTACAAAATTAATAATTATACTAGTATAATATATTATAATAATAACTATGCATGTTATTCTTTTGTACAAAACAATGTAAACAAAATAGCATATAAAGATCAGCTAATTTTCTTTATGTACCAATAAATGTAAATCTGAATCTCAAACACCATTTAAATGTACTTTCCTTCATGGGGTCTTTTTTATAGAATGAATTTTTAAGGTGATGACCTACAATACTTAGATTTTGCGGTACGGTGACATACTTGTACTTCCATTATGGTTTTAAAGACTCAGATGAACTGCATTTCAGTCAGATTTGTGAAGGCCATTCTCCAGCATGAGGCCAACTGCTCTTTCTTATTAGATATATATTATATATATATATATATATATATTATATATATATATAAAAAAAAATTAAGGGAACACTTTGAAAAACACATCAGATCTCAATGGGGAAAAAATATCATGCTGGATACCTATACTGATATGGACTAGGTAATGTGTTAGGAACGGAAGGATGCCCCATCATTTGATGGAATTAAAAATGATCAACACTGCAAAGGACTGAATTCAAAGACACCCCGAAAATCAAAGTGAAAAAACTTATACAGCATGCTAGTCCATTTTGAAGAAATTTCATTGCAGCAACTCAAAATGGTACTCAGTAGTTTGTAGGCCCCCTCAAGGCGTGCTTGTATGCATACCTGACAATCTCAAGGCATGCTCCTAATGAGATGGCGGATGGTGTCCTGAGGTATTTCCTCCCAGATCTGGACCAGGGCATCACTGAGCTCCTGAACAATCTGAGGTGTAAACCTGGCAGTGTCGGATGGACTGAAACATGATAACCCAGAAGTGTTATATTGGATTTAGGTCAGGTGAGCTGTGGGGCCATTCAATGGTATCAATTCCTTCATTTCCCAGGAACTGCCTGCATACTCTCGCCACATGAGGCCAGGCATTCCCAGAAGGAACCTGGGACCCACTGCACCAGCGTTGGGTCTGAGGATGGGTCCAAGGACTTCATCCTAATGATACCTAATGGCAGTCAGGGTGCCATTGTCTAGCCTGTAGAGGTATGTGCGTCCCTCCATGGATATGCCTCCCCAAACCATCACTGACCCACCACCAAAAAACAGTCATGTTGAACGATCTTACATGCAGCATAACATTCTCCATGGCTTCTCCAGACCCTTTCACGTCTGTCACATGTGCTCAGGGTGAATCTGCTCTCATCTGTGAAAAGCACAGGGTGCAGTGGTGCCGATTCTGGTGTTCAATGGAAAAAGCCAATCAAGTTCTATGGTGCCGGGAAGTGAGCACAGGGCCCACTAGAGGACGTTGTGCCCTCAGGCCACCCCCATGAAGTCTGTTTCTGATTGTTTGGTCAAAGACATTCACACGAGTGGCCATTGGTGGTCATTTTGTAGGGCTCTGGCAGTGCCCATCCTGTTCCTCCTTGCACAAAGGAGCAGATACTGGTCCTTATGATGGGTTAAGGACCTTCTACAGCCCTGTCCAGCTCTCCTAGAGTAACTGCCTGTCTCCTGGAATCTCCTCCATGTTCTTGAGACTGTGCTGGGAGACACAGCAAACCTTCTGGCAATGGCACGTATTGATGTGCCATCCTGGGGGAGGTGGACTGCCTGTACAACCTCTGTAGGCTCCAGGTATCGCCTTATGCAACCAGTACTTACACTGACCCTAGCCAAATGCAAAACTAGTGAAGAACAATCAGAGAAGACGAGTAGGGGAAAAAAAATGTCAGTGGCCTCCACAAGTACAACCAGTCCTGTTTTGGGGGTCGTCTCATTGTTGCCCATCTAGTGCACCTGTTAATTTCATTAACACCAAAGCAGCTGAAACTGATTAACAACCCCCTCTGCTACTTGACTGACCAGATCAATATCATAGGGCTTTAATTGACTTAATGCTATACTCTGATTAAAAAGTGTTACTTTAATTTTTTTTGAGCATTGTATATATATTTTATGGCCAAAAGTATTGGGACACCCCTCCAAATCATTGGATTCAGGTGTAACAATCGCCTCCATGGCCACAGGTGTATAAAATCAAGCACAAAGGCATGCAGACTTCTTCTACAAACATTTGAGAAAGAATGGGTCGCTCTCAGGAGCTCAGTGAATTCAAGCGCGGTACCGTGATAGGTTGCAACCTGTGCAATAAGTTCATCCGTGAAATTTCCTTGCTACTAAATATTCCACGGTCAGCTGGTAATTTAGTGGTATTATAACAAAGTGGAAGCAACTGAGAACAACAGCAACTCAGCCACAAAGTGGTAGGCCACGTAAAATAACAGAGCGGGTTCAGCACATGCTGAAGCACACAGTGCGCAGAAGTTGCCAACTGTCTGCAGAATCAATAGCTAAAGACCTCCAAATTTCATGTGGCCTTCAACTTAGCACAGCAACAGTATGTAGAGAGTATCATGGAATGGGTTTCCATGGCCGAACAGCTGCTTTCAAGCCTTACATCACCAAATGCAATGCAAAGCGTTGGATGCAGTGGTGTAAAGTACACCGCCACTGGACACTAGAGCAGTGGTGATGTGTTCTCTGGAGTGAGGAATCACATTTCTCTGTCTGGCAATCCAATGGACATGTCTGGGTTTGGAGGTTGCTAGGAGAACGGTACTTGTCTGACTACATTGTGCCAAGTGTAAAGTTTGGTGGAGGGGGGGATTATGGTGTGGGGTTGTTTTTCAATGGCTGGGCTTTGTCCATTAGTTCCAGTGAAGGGAACTCTTAAGACATCAGCATACCAAGACATTTTGGACAATTTTATGATCCCAAGGGGATGGCCCCTTCCTGTTCCAACATGCTTGCACACCAGTGCACAAAAAGCATCCGACATTAGTGCCTGAACCTCACAAATGCACTTCTGGAAGAATGGTCAAACATTTCCATAGACACACTCCTAAACTTTGTGGACAGCCTTCCCAGAAGAGTTGAAGCTGTTACAGCTGCAAAGGTTGAACCAGCTCAATATTGAACCCTACGGACTAAGACTGGGATTCCATTAAAGTTCTTGTGCATGTAAAGGCAGGCATCCTGATACTTTTGACAATATAGTGTGTGTGTGCATATATATATATATATATATATAGATATATATATACAGTATATATATTACACTCTATCCAACCCTTGGGGCACTATTCAATCCACAACTGATACCAATAATGGGGCACCATTCCTCCCACTGACACCAGTGGCGGGGCACTATTTCTCCCACAGATACCAACGATGTGGTATTAATGTTCCTACTGATATCAACATTGGGGTATTATAATTCCCACTGATACCAACAATAGGGCACTAGTCCTCTCACTAATACAAACAGTGGTGGACTATTACTTTCACTAAAACCGATGGGGAATTGTTTACTCTCACTGATGTTGGGGCATTTTCTACTCTC